TTGACATCTGAGCCTCCCAAATCCTTGATTTGCCTCTGAACCCCCAACCTCTCCCCTGACTACTCACTACTCATAAAAACTTATAAAATTCTAACAGGACTAGACAGGGTAGATGCAGGGAGGATGTTCCCGATGGTGGGTGTATCCAGAACCAGGGATCACAGTCTGACGATTCAGCATAGATGATTTAGGTCGGAGATGAGGAGACATTTCTTCACCCAAAGAGTGGTGAGCCTGTATAATTCATTACCACAGGAAATAGTTGATGCCAAAACATTGAATGTATACAAGAGGCAACTAGATAGAGCACTTTGGGTGAATGGGATCAAAGGTTATGGGGAGAAAGCAGGATTAGCCTATTGAGTTGGACGATCAGCCATGATCATGATGCATGGCAGAGTAGGCTCGAAGGGGTGAATGGCCTCCTCCTGCTCCAATCTTCTATGTTTTGATCTTTACACCTGTGATCTGAATACCACCTCAGCCACATGCCACCCCAACTCCATTCTACCTTCACCTGCCACCCTACCAAAGCAACACTTCACCCACCTTCCTGTTTCACCTGCCATCCTAACCATCTACTACCTCACTCATGCCATGGTGTCCACATGCCATTCTGTTCATCTCACCCTTTGCCATCCTACTCACCCATCAACTCACCCAGCCTACCAACCTACCCATTTACCAACTTCGCTCACATACCGACTCACATTACCATTCTGCTCATTCATTCATCCACTCACCCATTCACCAAATGAACCTTAAACTTACCATCTGGCAACTTGTTGCCTATCTTTTTCTATCCTGTTGACCTATCTTTTCCCTGATGTTGCTCAGCCATGATGGAGCCCTCTGAGGGACACTGGGCTTCACATTTCTGGTAAAGCTGGGCTCAGAAGCCCAAGCAAGAAATGTGGACCATTGTTAAATTGAGGAGAGATTTGGGTGGAGTGGCAATCTGTGGATGATAGCCACTCAACAGAGGTTTGAGGCCATTAACTCCCAAAACATGCTGCCAGGCCAGCTGAGAATATCCTGCATTCTCTGTATCAGATTTCCAATATCCACAATAGTTTGCTCAAAATTGATAGTCTTGGAAATAAATTACCATTCCTTTGCTTCATTCCAAAATCAATAAACAGAAATAGCTGAGGTATTTTTGAAGAAAAAAAGCTGCCGTGTTGTAATGTGCTTGAACTTGATTGCGTGAGTTGAAGAGAGAAGGTTAAGAAAGTCTCTCTATTGTCAAACGTTTAGTTTCCTTAGTTTCTATTGTGATGTCGAAATCAGGGTGATCACAGATAACTTGTCACATTGTCAGATCAAGCCCTATTTGAATTAAACAACCTTAAAGCACCCTGCTGTCAATTGTTGATGTCGACAACAGAACTCTATTTTGCCAAAGGCAAATTTTTTATGCATGCAATTTTCTTCCTTATTGAGTGGGTGTTGGGAAAGTGAAGACACTCATTAAGATGAATAGCATTATCTGCGTATGTGATTTCCACACGTGTGAAGCGCTCCGACTTTAATAAAGTTTTTATTTAAATTGCTGAAGGGCAAAGACCCTTCCTAACGAAACAGAGTGGCTTTGCCTGAGCAACACCAATGAGGGGACACCTGTTTACTGCTGTTTATAGGGCTGGTGCCTGTTTTGCCGTGAGGCAAATTTGAGTCATGAGATGGATACAGATGTGTAAAATTAATAATGAAGCATTGCTATTGTAGGCTTAGATTGTTATCAGTTATTAAAACCTATCTTCCAGCTGAATTTTTATTTTATGTAGTCCTTGTATTAGTCTCAAGACGCTGCTTAAAATCATTCAGATTTCCTTGCTGGTGTGTAAGTTGCAGTCTTACATTACGTTCCTCACAGCCTCTGCCAGGCATTTTATGGAACTAGTTAACCAACACTTGGCTTTTGTTTTTGGAGGTTCCCAAGACAAACTGGGGGATCCGCAGTTGTGGGTCCTGACACATGGGAACAGAGGGATTCAGAATTTAGGCCAAGCACCTCCTTCAAACGGGAGTAGCAGGAGTGAACGAAAACAGATTTTCCACAATAGTCCGTCATGTTTGAGCGAATTGTGGTTCTGTGTGTGGTTCAATAAATTAAAGATGACGTTCACACATTATTGCAGCGCTATCCGTGACAGCAAGATTTGTAGCAAAACATAGTACTGTTAAAACAGAAAGTCGAGTGTACTATTTAGTCAGGAATATTCGACTGTAGAGGAGACTCAAGATCCTACAAACTAAGTCAAGAAAAGGTATGTGTGTACACTAGGTCATGACAATAGTAAAGTATAATTGTCTGAAATATAACAGTAATGTGTTTGTCAATAATGAACAATCATTTGCAGCACTGTGTATTAATCGCAAAGTGAACAATACGGGAACGATATGCAATTAAGGCTTCCATTTTAAAGAAGTCTGATTAATAATTCTTGTTTTTATGTAGTGCCATATCATATCACACAGTGAATTGCTTCCTAAATGTAAAGAACATTGCTGTGTTGGTAAATTTTAACTGAAAATAAATTTTTGTACACTATCCAGTAAGTACTCTTTAATAGATGACCTGTTTGTGGAAGTATTGTTTATAAGTTAAATTTATATGGAACCTTGACTAGAGCATACTTGGAATGTTATGTGCAAATCCTGGTCTCCATATTATAAAGAAAACATTGGAGTCCTGGAAAGGGTGCAGAAAAAATTGCAAGCATGTTGCCAGTATTAAGAAGATTCAACTAGTAGGAAATATTGAACAGGTTTAACTCTCTGAAGAAGACTGTGAGGAACTTGATTAAATCCTTTAAAATTATGAAGGAATTCAGTAGGGTGGATATGAACAAGCTTTTTCTATATGTGGGTGAGTCTAGAACAAAAGTATAAACATGAGATTGCCACAGATTAAAAAAAATGCAGTTCCAGATAACATCAACACACCTCAGGATGTACCTATAAGGGAGGGGGGGGGAGTATAAGGAAGGGTAGAACAAGGCAATCCTAGTGAAAGAAGGATGATGTGAAGTACAAACAGCAGCATAGAGCTGTTAAACTTAACTGCCTGCATGTGTGCTATCAATTTTCACAATAGAAGGAAAGTTTGTCAGCATTTAATGAACAATATTTTATCTTCATAAGTGTACCCTTGTCTTTGTCAAATGTAATTTTGGTTTCCATTTGAAGATATGAAATTTACAAATAATAAGTTAAACTTTATCGGAAAATAAGCACAACATATTACAAATAGATTGTAAATGGGCAAAACTGTGTCTATTAGATCTCAATAATCACAAATGTGAAATTGTTCATTTTAGACTTAAAAGGTACAAATGTTACAACTAGACCTTTGGTAAGTTATTATGGTTTTAGACAGATACCAAAATCATTTAACTCCTGGCTAAGGAGGGATGAGCTGCCTCCACTTCTTTACTCACCTCCTATTCAGTTGGTTGCAACATTTAGCTCTAAAAGGAGCCAATACAACCACATTTTCATGAGTAAACAAGAAAGTGATCTTAGTATGCAGTAAGTGCAAAAAAGATAAAAGTTAGAAGATATATTAATCAGTTTCTATAGGTCATTCATGAAGAGTAGATTTGGAAACATTGATATTTAAGCAGTCAATTTTTTGTGATTTTTGGGCTTTTCCAGGTTAGTTGAAATCCTATTGTGGTTTTTTTCGATGCTGCTTGGCTGGCAGCACCCAGGGTAAGTGTGTTACCTGCTGACTAGCTTGCTAGCTAGCTGTCCTCTAACACTCGGAGCAAGAGTGTCTTTTAACCTGCAGGACTGACTGTGACCTTCACAACACATAATCTCTCAGATCCAGGCTA